TGGGCCGACTTGTGTTTAGTTTATTTCCTTTTAAATTAAGATGTTGTTGGGCCTTGGGCCCATTAGTTTTATTTTTTAAAGAGCTGTAATTACTTAGGTTGAGTTGCCACCCTACTAAGGGCATCTTTGTAATATCTCATACTTAAGTTAATTATAAATAGAATGAGGGGCTGGCGGCTAGGGTTAAGTCAATCTATCCTAGTCGACCTTCTTTTCTTTTCTTCCCTTTCCTCTGTCTCTTGCTGAAATCCCCAACTTTCTACTCTTCCTTTCACAAGAAGCTTGGCCGAAATCAGCACATAAGTTTTTCTACTGTCTCCAAGGTTGGAAAATCTGAAATCACAATGGACATATTTCTTTTGTTTCAAGTAAAGAATACAACGAACATAGGAGTAGAAAAAAAGCTTTCGTCAAATGTATTAGGGTCCAATTTATATTTAGGATGAAGACAGATAGGTGGTCATTAACCTTATCTCCTCTACTCAAATGCATAATTCCCTCTTCTACAATGAATAAAATTCTCAAAAGCCTCAAGAAAAAATTTATAAGAGACTGCTTGTTAGGAAGAGATAAATTACTTTATTAGAAGTATGTTTTGAAAACTGAATGTCGTTGCTTATGTTTTGAAACTTTAGTTGTTTTTGCCTCCCAAATCTGTTGGAAAAGTAGGGTTCCCTCCCATTTTTATTATTGAAATGCCAAATATATTTTTATCATAGATTTCTAAGATTTAGTTTGGTTTGTTTTTCTTGTTGAAAAACAGGTAATATTCAGTTAAATGCTGACAACAAAATTTCCTGTTGGATTATTTTGTACATTCAATAATTTCTACATTTCAAACAAAACATGCATTATTAGTCACAATTAAAAGATTGCCAATTTTTTTGATTTTGTTTAAATATTTCTACATTTCTCTTTATTTTTTTTGGTTTTTCTCATTATGTTTATATTAAGTTAGCCTTTTAATCTCCTATCATTCCCTGGTCTATTTGTCCCTTCCCAATTTATGATTTTATTTTATTTTACTTTTGTCTGGATAGCTCCTGATTATTTGTTTTTTGGATGTTATTGGGTGGGATACTTTGTTTACCTTTCTTAAATTTGTACTGTATGTGAGATATTTCCTTCAAGAACTGTTTAGTTATATAATTTGAATGCCATTTTGTTGCAACAGATCAGTAGACGAGTTTTTGATATCTTGGAGAATGAAAACCTAAAACGAGCAGTTGACTTTGAAGTGAGGGGAACTTTTGTTTCTGATGGGATAACGGAACTCTCTTACATCAGAAAAGAAGGTCATGACGATTTTAAAACTTCAAAAGGTCAACTGCATGTGGACATGAAAAATGATCATTCTGCAAAAGACAGAGATAAGCCATATGATCTTTATAAGAAACGGGTATCTGCGACAGTGAAGAGAGGGAGGTTCTTGGATGTCATATGCAGTACTCTTGAAAAATATCGTTATGTGGGACCAAGTCAGTGTGCTGATATTGGACTTGCATGCAGGTATTATTTTTCTTTTTCTGTGTAGAATGGCATTGCTATCCTGTTTTTTACTCTTAATGGTAGGAATCTTCTACCATTATATTGATTGTGTTATATGTCAAGCCCAATTATTAGGAAAATGACATGAAATCAAGATGAGTAGAGTAATTCTGTTATTTGTATATCCTATATCACATAAATTTGATTTTAGATGAGCAATATTTTCTGGAAATGATGATCTTAATCTTGTTAATATTTAAAAAAGACCTAACCATTATTCCAACTTCTACTTCTCTATATTAAGGAATGGTATAATTTATATTTTCTGTCAATAGACAGTCTGTCATATGATGAATAGACATGGAGTAGAAGTCTCTTGCTAGATTGATTTTGAAGACCTTGGATATTTCTCTACTTCTAAGCTCTATATGGTACCGAGATTAACTCTGAATTAGCATGCCATCAGGATGATTTTTTCTCATGAAGAGTAAAGTGGCAATTACAGCTTCTATTCAATATAAAGAGAACATGTTTGTTGCTGACAATGATTGTAAAATCTGCATACATCCTAACAAGGAATATGAGAAGATTTTGGCAAGCATGAAAAAATGACTTAATGTTATAGTATACACCTCTATCTCAAAGCACCTATTTAGCATCCTACTTGACATGTATCTGAGACTCCATCTGCTAGTCTCCCTTTTTCTCAAATAACCTAAACTTTGTGTGCAGTTGAACTACAAGTAAGATCCTAACAACCAAGAATTGGAGAAAAACTAGAATTTAATTTTGCACCATGTGACCCTCAAATAAGATGTGCTGTTTTTTGTTTTTTGGAAAAGTGATGGATAAAATGTTTTGTTTTTCTGTTTCTTCTTTTGGATATGGAGTTTCAATTATGAAGGAAATGGGTCTATAAAATTTCCAAGCTATTATTTTTTCAAGCTCAAAAAGTGAAATCTAAAATTTGAGAAACGTGCTAAGGCTTGCACCATGCAAGTATTTACAAGTACTGAAGCTACTGAACAGAGAATGAGGACAAAAATAGAGGCATATAGAGGGCTTCTTTTGGAACTTTTTGTCCAAATGTCCTGTCAAAATAGGGAGCCATTCCATGGTCATATGGGAATTATCTTCTCGTGTACTTTTTTTTTTTTTAATTATCTAATGGAATTCAATTACTTTCTCTCAAAAAAAATTCTTTGTGCATGTTACCTAGTGCCCTTGGAAAAGGCAAGACTACATTAATGGCCTTCATAAATATGTAGAGTCAATTGTTAATATTTTTGAAGTGTTGGCTTTGAATTTGAAACACTTTCTTTTTTCTTCCAAGTAGCTCTGTTCTCATGGAAATTAATTTAATTATAAAGATTTTAACCAAAATTAGATTGAAGTGGCAGGACATTCTTGTATAGCAAATTTAAGATTTTTGTCATAGGCTTAACCGAAATTTTCCACATGTATGAATTTCATGTCACTGTTGACATGTCTTAGATGGGTTAGCCAAACCAGTGGTGCACAAATTGCTACTATATCTTCTGTTGTCTTGTTTAACATGGAACTGACTTCCAACGTCTTAGATTGTTATTCAATATCTACACTATATCCTTACATAATTCATGCTATTCTCTGGACTAATTTCTCTCTATTGCCATAGACTTCGTGAAAAGAAGGAATCTGTTACCATTTTGCTTTGTGGTACCAGTGGATGTGGCAAGTCAACTCTCTCTTCTTTACTGGTATTGCTTCAGTGCACGTATTAGCTTCATGTTTCCTCCTTGTTTTGAATCTATGAAGCAATATGAAATTATACTTAAGGAACAACATAATTTTATCTTTTTCTGTTCCCCAGACGTTGAGAATAAAACGAGACAACAATAAGCAACTTTTCAAATATTTTAACAGATAATGAACTATAATCTTATGGTTGCTATCATATACCTGTTACATTTTGAACATATCTTATTGTAGTAGTATACTTTGATGTTTCAGGCAAGCAGACTAGGCATTACAACTGTTGTTTCTACTGATTCTATTCGCCATATGATGAGGAGCTTTATTAATGAAAAGGAAAACCCACTATTGTGGGCATCTACATATCATGCTGGGGAGTTTCTAGATCCAGCTGCTGTAGCTGAAGCAAAGAGAAAAAAGGACAGAAAATTATCCACCATGACTTGGAGTGGTCAGGTTGGTTTGGAGAAATTGGAAACAATGCCAAAACCTCTATGTGATACACCTGAAGGCAACTTCTTGGAAGCAGGTCCATCCAAGAGAGAATGTACGAAATTAAGTGACTGTTACAAAACAGACGGTGTTTCCAATCTTCCAACTGAACAAGTTGCCGCCAAAGTTCTAGCAATTGAAGGTTATAAAGCACAGAGTGAAATGGTTATTGACAGTCTTGATAGGCTAATCACAGTCTGGGAGGAAAACAAAGAATCAGTAGTGGTGGAGGGTGTCCATTTGAGTCTCAATTTTGTGGTAATCTTCTTTTCCCTCTGGGTGCGTTTAAATAATATTAGGATCTCAGTGGTTTGGTTTGATTTTAACTTTCCAACTTAAGTCACACAAATGAATAATTTATAAAATGAAGAAAAGTCTTCTTGGAAAGACTTTTATTAGTCAGGCTTGATTGGCTTGAGTCTTAGGGGCTTAGACATTATTACCAAGGGTTTACCTTTGTCATTGTATAGCTTAATTAAGAAATTTTGTTTCTTATAAATTGGCTCTTGCCACTCTTGATTTCGTTCTCTTCTTCTGTCTTATATTCCAGATAGGTCTTATGAAGAAGCATCCTTCCATAATTCCATTTTTGATATACATATCAGATGAGGAAAAACACTTGGAACGGTTTGCTGTCCGAGCCAAATACATGACCCTGGATCCTTCTAAAAATAAGTATGCAAAGTACATCAAGAATATACGTACTATACAAGACTACTTATGCAGAAGGGCAGACAAGTACCTTGTACCCAAGGTGAACAACACCAATGTTGACCAAAGTGTGGCAGCTATACATTCAACTATATTTAGTTGTTTGAGAAGGAGGCAGATGGGGGTTTCCTTATATGATATGGTTACTAACACTGTTAAAGTAATAAATGAAGAATACTCTAAGCATTATGATGCAAATTCTGTCAGTTCAAAAGGCATGTTCAGGATGATCCAAAGGCAAGGATCTTTACATCATTACATGGCTATAGTCAACTCAGATGGCTCAGTTTCCAAAGCATGGCCATTTATGCATGAAGATAGAACAAAGAAGCCCTCTTCATCTAGTGCTAGTACCAGTGTAGTTGGGAGTCCTATCTATGGATCAATTCAGTTTCGTGAAGCTGAGCCTGTTAATATACAGTTTGGTAATTTTGGGATAGGTTCTTGGCCAAATGACACAGAAGGTACAAGCTACACGAGCAGTGTAAATGATTTCAGACTTGATGGAGATGAAGAAGTGGTTGAACTTTCTTCTTCCTCCAGTTCACAACTGCATCATGAAGGGCACTTGAAGGAGGTAGTGGTCTATATTTCAATGTTTTCAATCCTATGTTAATGTAGTGTATGTATGGGTTCTGCAAGGGTTGTCTTTCACAATGTTAACCATGCAAATTGCATCTTATAATTCTCTTGGATTGACACTTACTATAGCTATGATTGACATTTTAGAAAATCATCGATGACATTAATAGCATAATCACTGAATCTTATTGTTGGTATTAGTACACCCTTACTCCCTTGGTTTGGCTACCTTACCTTGAGAATACTGAAACTTATGTCACTAAAGTTTCATTTTTGAAACTGATTTTTTTTTTTGGATGGAAGAAATAAGATGCTATGCGTTTTCTGTTCTGAGGTTGCATTATAGAAATCTGGATTTCCATAGTGTAACTTCCGACCCAACTTTCTTATCTCTTCTACTCTGAATGGATGGTGATGAGGAGGTAAATGTGTTTTTTTGTTTTTTGTTTTGAAAAAAGTAAGGTAATATTATTTCTTAAGAAACACATACAAATGGAGGAGCAAACAAGATTGACTCCCCCGCATACGCAGCATCAGATATCCCATAAACTAACTGAATTTAGAATCAGAAACATGTTCTGATTGCTAAACTCAGGAACAACTGATAACCAAGAAGCAAGTTTAGCCACAATACAATTGATCAACTCATCAGAACTTTTACAAAGATCATTAAAAATTCTATTGTTCCTCCCAGACCAAATAGTGCTGATCACTGCCGCTGGAATGGTCCTCCAAATGATTTTTCCTCTTTTCGATAGACCTGGATTATACCAGCTGTGAAGAAGTTCCTAAATCGATCCTGGCATCACCCAGTTAATGCCCACCACATGCAAGAAGTGAGACCAAATCCTCCAAGCAAAAGAGCAATGAATACATAAGTGATCCATGGGCTCTTCCATTTGACCGCAAATCGCACAATTTAGGTCATCCGAGGTGATTCCTCTTCTCATCAGACTGATTCTTGTTAGACATTTCTTTAGAGTTGCAGCCCAAACTAGGAAATTGACTTTGGAAGGGGTAGAAGGAATCCAGATTTGTTTAGATGGGAAAACAGAGTCTCCTGTAGCACTAGACCCTCCACAAAGGATTTAACTGAGAAGTTCCCATCAGCCTTCCATTTCCAGGTCCAAATATCACTTACTTGCAGCTAAGGAGTCTCATTACTTCCTCCACCTCCCAGTCCTGAAAAGCTCTGCGGAAACTAGGCTTCCAGACCACTTCCCCTCTCATTAGCTCAAAAGATTCAGCCACTGTAGCCTCTTTGTTCTCAGCCACTGAAAAATTAAGAGGGAACTTTACCTCTAAAGTTGTTTCATCAAGCCACCCATCCTTCCAGAATCGAATTCTGTCCCTCTTTCCCACCTGAAAGACCACACCCTTCAGAAAACTCGGGATCGCTTTCATTATAGCCTTCCACAAAGAACATCTATAGGAAGGAAGGTTAATTGCAGTTGTCCAACCCTCCGGCTGAAGGCCATATTTTGCAGCAATGAGCTTTCTCCACCAACTATTTTCTTCTGTGCCAAATCTCCATAACCACATCCCCATTAGAGCAGTGTTAAAAGTTTTCAGTTTTCTTGGACCCAAACCACTTGAACTACGTGGAGTACAAATCTGATCCCAAGCCACCAAGTGAAATTTCTTCTCATCTTCCCAGACTTTCCATAAAAATTCTCTTTGCAATTTTTCAATTCTCTTAGCCACTTTACTTGGTAAAGGAAAGAGGGAAAGGTAATAAGTTGGAAGGTTTGCAAGTGTACTTTTAATCAAATTCACTCTTCCCCATTTCGAAAGGTATTTTGCCTTCCAAATCGCCAATTTTATTTCCATTCTTTCTACAACAGGTTCCCAAATTGTTGAGGATGAGCTTTTTGTACCCAGAGGAAGACCAAGATAGCTAGTTGGGAGATATCTATTTTATATCCCAGTACTTCCACCCATTCTTCCAGCCCCTCAATTCTGCCCACTGGAATGATAGAAGATTTTCTTAAGTTCATCTTCAGATCAATTACCACCTCGAACCGGATGAAAATCCCAATTAAAGTTTCCAGCTGAGAGAAGGAAGCACCAATGAAGCATAAAGTATCATCAGCAAAGTGAAGAAAATTTACCCTCTCACCACTTGGAATTATCTCAAAACCCTCCCATAGGCTTGCCTGACCCGCATGGTTGATGAATTGGGTCAGCACCTCCATAATACATAGAAAAAGCAGAGGTGACAGGGGGTCACCTTGGCGGATGCCCCTTGAATTTTTGAAGAAACCAGAGCGCTTTCCATTAAATAAAACAGAAAATTTGGGGGAAGATATGCATACCCTCATCCAGTTTCTCCACTTCTGACCAAATATCATTTTTTCCAGAATGAAGTTCAAACACTGCCAGTTCACATGGTCATAGGCTTTTTCAAGGTCAATTTTACATAACAGACCTGGTTCTCCTTCCTTCCTAGAGTACTTATAAAACACTGTCCAGAATTTGTCTTCCGCCAACAAACACACATTGGTTTTCTGAAATTACAGATCCCAACACCTTTTTAAATCTCTCTGCAAGAAGTTTATAAAAACTATGAAGCAGCCTTATCGGTCTGAAATCTTTGAGGTTGGTTGCTCCTTCTACCTTAGGGATCGAAGTAATAAGGAGGTAAATGTGTTGATAAACCAGCAGTGCCCAGAAGCTAGTTGTTTGATTTGGCTGCCAATATCTAAATTTTAGTGGGGAGTGGAGATAACAATAATTTTTTTACTTCTTCAAAATCACTTTAACTTTAATTGTATATTTTCAAGGCAATTCAAATATTTTGTATGCATTCACATGGTCATTGCATGAGGGTAGTATGAGACTATGACTGCATGTAGTTGTTAAGGTTGGAAACCGCTTTAGTCTTTGGCATTATGGGCATTTTGAGGAGTAAAAGGGTTTTGGTTTTCCAGTAAATGAGTATTTATTTTGTTGCTTCCAGGATTTCTAAATCCAGCAGATTGTGTCAAATTTGACAAAGACCACTTACATGTAGAAATTGCCAATTTGGATGATATTATTATATACTCCAAGATAGGGGTGAGCAAATGGTTTATTCGGCTAGAAACCAAACCAAAACCGAAATAACTGAAACTAAGATTTTCAGTTTGCTTTTCAGTTATTATGGTTAAAACCGAATTTCAACACTATATATATTTTAATATATATTATTGATATATATTATACAATGTATATAATAAATTATATATTTTAATATATAATATAATATAATAAAATATATTTTATACATATTATAGATGTATTATATGTTAATATATATACTATAGATAATAAAGTTCGGTTAATTCAGTTTTTTTGGTTAACTGAATTTCTAAACCTGAAAAACCAAAACCGAAATAACCAAAAAGCAAAAAAACCAAACCGAAATTTTCCGTTCGGTTTTTTGGTTTTAACCGAATAATGCTCACCCCTACTCCAAGATACTTCATTTCCATTTCAATGGTAACACTTTTTTTTTGGTAGTGAATACTAACACTGAATATTTGATTAAATAAATAAGAGAAAAAGATGGGATAGATATGTTTTAGTTAAAGAGCTTAGGATACAATGTAGTAGTGACAAGTGTGACTTGTGTTAATTAGGCAACCTGTTTTCTTTTGTGCATCTTAGTCAGAGTTACAGATTTATTGACTATTTGTGTTTGTTCTATAACATTTTATTTATTATTGATTACCCTTTTAGCAAGGTCAAGTATTACTCTTTCTAACTAAGCAATCCCTCCTTTTGATCAGCTCACGGAACAAGTGGTGGCGTCAGAAAGTGAGGAGGAGCCACTTCAAGATGATGATGATAATGGTGATGATGATGATGATGATGATTCTAGAGATGCAATTTTTGAGCTTGGACATGAGGTAAGAAACAACCTATGTAGATGAACCATGGTTCAAACTTCAAAGTATTAACACACTTGATACTCAATTCAATTTTTCTTCTTTTTTTTTATATATTTATGTTTGGTAATTTGCAGATAGGTACATTAAGGTAATAATTGCTATTTAGATCTATCAAACCTACCTACCTCTAAGTATTTTAGTGATCCTGAAAACCAAACCAATATGTATTGTACAATACGTTTGGATACATAATATTTTGAACCTTGAGATGAACCTGGTATTTGTTTAATTACCTATGAAAGAGTAATGGTTGTTTGATATCATCAATTCTTAAGTAAAAGTAGGCCATCTCCGTGGACTCATTTCGATTTTTACCCTCTTGGCAGTTGGAAGGTTCGGTGGTTGAATCATCCACAAGATCGGATGATGAGTATGATATTGACCTAAAGGATGGAATGTTATATGAAGATGCTGCAAGTTTGGAAGCTTTGAGCCATCCCACCAGTCCCTTTGATGGTCCCCGTAAGCATCACAAGCTATGGAAATGCTACTCCATGAAACTCTCAGGAAAATTTGTTTGTGAAGGCAAGCCTTTTAGCCGTGTTAATAGCCTCCCTCTTCAAAGAAATCACTCTAACAACCCTAAACGTGTGAACATTCCAATGCCTCCTACAGATGCATGAAGAGGATAAGTACAGTTGTAAAAAGAGAAATGTTTGTTTCATTGTTTGAGCTTATTAATGCTTTAATCTTACTTGGTTCGCCATTTATTCATCTGTACCTGAACTGGTCGTTTCTTCTGCCTATGAAGAACTTCAGTGTTCCCTTTTCATTTTAGAATTACATGTTTTTTCCTCCTTTTTAGATCTACATTAACCGAAGTGGTGGAATTTCTACCTACAGTAATTTTTTTTTGAATTCATTATAGTTGGCAATTCTTTTTCGTTTTATTTATATTTGTATTTGCACGTATTCTGAGATCCTTGATGATAATCAACTAAATATTTCTTCAACTTGGGAAAAAAAAATGAATGCCTGATGGGTATACGAGCGTTGCAAGATATGAATCCAGACTGAGTACCTACGTTTATTCAGAAATTGACATACACCTGGGAAGTGGGAACACAATCGTGAGTTATTTCTTAGCCATTTTACACACAACAGAACACCATAGCATATGTACAAACAAATGGGTCATTTGAACCTAAGGAATATAAATACAAATATGTAGAGTGCAAAACCTTGTATTTTGTACCTGGGAAGTGGGAACTGGGAACACAGTCGTGAGTTATTTCTTAGCCATTTTACACACAGCATAACACCGTAACATATGTGCAAACAAATGGATCTGTTGGCTCAGTTTGGAAGGAGTACAAATACACCTGGGAAGTGGGAACACAGTCTTGAGTTATTTCTTAGCCATTTTACACACAACAGAACACTGTAACATATGTGCAAACAAATGGATCCTTTGGCTCAGTTTGAAAGGAGTATACAAATATATAGAGTTTAAAACCTTGTATTTTGTATATATTTGTATTGTACATTTTTATATTTGTACTCTTTCCAAACAGAGCCAAATTTGTTGAAAAAGCAACTCAACAATTAGGGTTACTAGATACAGTGCTCAAACCACTTAATTAACTATTTGTTTTTTGGTAAACACTCGAGGGCCTGTCGTTACCACTTATCTCTTAATGCTGAAGAGATCATGTGCACTTTAAGAGGTTTCTGAGCATTCATTTGCTCAAAATCTTCAAACCTCTGAATTTGTACTAATTTGTAATGACATCCCATCAATCAATTGGCATTATAAATTTACTTCCAGTTTTATCCCTCTCTTTATATTTGTATTCTATTTTCTACAATACACCCATCTTCCACACAAGTCACAAGGGTACCCATTTCGGCTGACTTATTTATAATGGATTATTGAATAATAATAATAATAATAATTTTATTTAATTTAGTTTAATAATGGATTATTAAATAAATTAATTATTTTAACATATAAAAACAAATTAATAATAATTAAAATATATTAATACTTAACCATAGAAACAATAGTTATATAATTATTTAAATAATATAATTAAAAACTCTTAATTATTTTAATAATTAAGATGATTATATTAATGTTTAATTAATTAAAAAATTATAAAAATATTAAAACTAAATAATTAATTACTGAAATAATTTATTTTTATTTATTTAATAGTTAACTATTAAAATAACTAATTTAGTAAATATTGTAAATTAAAATAAATATTTAAATATTTTATTATATATGAATGACTATTTTATTATATTTGCAATTATTTAATAATTATTATTTACTTATTTATTTTTTATTGAATAAATAGTAAAATATTATGTAATAAATATCTCTTAATAAATAATTATTAATTGTTCTAATAGTTTTCATTAATTCTAGTTTTATTAATTATTTTATATTTATTTAATTAATTTACTAAATAGTTAAACAAAATTTTCATATCCAAGGTTAAAATGGTCATTTGCTACTTTTTAGAATTCAACATTTAGATTTCAGAACAACATTCTTTGCATTCAGACTTTAGAACCAAGAAAAATTCACCAACTCCAATACACATCTTAAAGTAATAATTATAATTTCAGAAACATTCAGACTTAGAATGTAATACAAATAGAGAGGCCCTTAATGAAAAGGCAATTTTGAGGATATACTCTGCAAACACTCACAATGGAAAACCCATATCAATCTCAAAAATACATCAATAAACACAAAATTCAATGGACATGAGATTATTAATAAGGTATAAGAAAGACCTTTTAATGATTTTATATAGTGTGAACTATCCAGATACGATTGGAAACTTTGGGAAATGATAGAAGAAATAAATCTCGGGGCTAATTACATTATGACTTTTAGAAAATTGGCGGTGATTAGGGGGTGCAATCAAACATAACCGAATTCAACTGGCATGTCTTGATTCCGTTTGACTAAAATATTCATTCAAGCTTGAGTTTGAGCAAAATTTGAACATTATTTTTCGACTGGAGTTGAGTTTCACAAAATACATATTAATGGAGCCAATCTCGTGAGCTTTTGAGCAGAACATTTTATTGATCGAGTTTGAGTTCAAAATAATTGATCAAATTTATTGTGAGATATTAACTTGATTAGCATCCAACTTGAATTGAGCTTGAACTTGAGACTAAGCCTGAGCTGCTTCTTCAATTTCACCCTTATTAGTGATATTGGGTTGGGGTTGATTGAGGTGGAAACTCGAATGGGTGTAAAGTTTACATCTCGGTTCGAGTTTGCGTGCATTTGTTTAAGTTGTTGGTTTACACCATAAAGCAATGTAAAACTCCACCGAGCCCAAATTTTACATCGATATTCGGTGAAGATGTAAAATTCCATCGTCTGCCCTATCGGTAATAAAACTCCCTCCTTGCACCTCCTCTAGCTGTTGCAACGTTCAAAACATCACCAGTGTTCTCTACTGGCACCAACACAGATTCAGTCTTCCACCATTTTTTTTATTGGGAATAACGGATATGAAGAAAGAATGCATTAGTCTCATATTTGCACCATTTTGTTCCCATCGGATGGACAAATCTGAGGAAGGGATGCATCATTCTCAGAGTTGCCCCCGTTTTTTCCTCCTTTTTCGCGGATCTGAAAAAGGGATGCATCGTTCTCAGATCTGCCCCCTTTTTTCTTCTTTTTTCAAGGATGCGAGGAACAAATGCATTCTTCTCAGATATGCCCTCATCATTCTCATCTGTTTTTTATTTCTCACTATTTTTCTGCTCTGATAACGGTGTTCTCAAGGATCCAGCTGTATATCACCCAGATGCTGACAAAAAGTTACCTCCTCATTTACATCGTTGTGCACCAAACAGAAACAGTGTAAATGGGATAAGGGTTGGTCTCCTTTTTAACACCTTTAAACCGGATTGATGTAAAAGATGAATATCGGAAACAATGCGGCCTTATATATTTATATGTAATGTTTTGTCAACTGTTCATGCATTTTGAATAGGCTACCATACCTCTATCACTTTTTATAAAAATAGGAAAAATTCTTGATTGTTACCTTAAACTTTAGGGGTTGTGTCAAATCAGTCCCAGAACTTCAAAATTTGTTTATATAGTATCTCAAACTTTCAGATGTGTCTAATAGGTCCTTGTCATTAATAGTCCATCAGTTTTCTATATCATGTAATGACATGCACCACTTAAAACTTTTAAAATATCAAAACTGCCATTGAAAGAAGACACTGTTCATTGCATTCTATCTTGAGATTGAAGAGCTGTGCCATCGCTACGACGGTGTTAAGAACTGAGATGGTGCAAAGAATATATTTGAACAAACCAATGACTGTGTTGGGAACTGACCAAGTTCCAACGACGGTCGAAACCGCCACCATTGCTACGATTTCCTATATATTCTAATTCTTTTAAAGAAAAATTTTTGTAACTAGTGAAAATTTCCCGTATATTCTAAAATCCATCTTGGGTAGTTGCTACAACCTTCGTATCTCAACTAGGATGCAAGGGGAAATGATGTTGATCTTAGCATTTACAAGGGAAAGATTCTGTTGATTGTTTATGTTTTTTCACAATGGTATAACTTAGTTTTTTCTTTGCTCATTTTAAGAATTTACTTGTGTTTTGATTTGACTTCATTAACCACAAATTCATTGTCAGTAATCAGTAATTTATCATTCCATAAAACGGAAAAGCAAGATTGCTAGGAGTCAAGGTGAAACGACAACATAATTTATTGGAATCAAGATTTAAATGAAAGGAGTTTTGTTTAAATTGGTTTATGTGGAAATGACAGATAAAGAAAATTAGATGACACTTGGTAGACATTTCCAAAATTAACCAACGGATTGTAAAGGATAAGGACCTATTAGACACATTCTGAAAATTGAGTAATGCATAAATACATTCTGAAAATTGTAAAGGATAAGGATAAGGACCTATTGTAAAGGAAATTTACAGTTGACACAATCCCGAGAGGTCAAGGTACCGATAAAGAATTTTCCCTTAAAAATATTAATTTTTTATATAGTTGTAATTTTGGTGAAACCCAAAAATTATTTTCAAAACAAAACAAAACCAAAAAGCAAGTCAAAGACTCAAAGTATCAGATATATATCATGATTTATGAGTCTATGCAGCTCATTTAAAATCCTCAAAGCACAAATTTCCTCACTCATCGTCTACCCTTAGAAATGCTTCGTCCAAGTAGCTGACCAGAATTGATGCTCGAGTATGTACGTAGGCCGTAAGAAATACTTCGGCCATGCGTGATCGAGCATCAACAATTCTGATGCTGGTTAGGACTCATTTGAGTTCAATTACGATCAATAGTCAATAACACGGCTAAGAATTTAATTCCTAATGATGCTTCTGATTTTAGTGATGGACTAAAAGTTATCATTAGGTTAGCAGCAGGGCGAAGCAACCAAGCACTGTTTGGTCAGGTTTATACCATGTTTCGTGGGTTGCGGTGGCAAAAGTCACGTAAAGCAGAGATAACGATGAAGGTTGAACTCGTATGTGTACTTTAATGCTGTGTTTGGTTTGAAGGAAAATGTGATTTCCCCACCTTTCCCAGTTTCCCTACCTTTTCTTTCAAACCAAAGTGGCTGTTGATGCTTCTTATTGTTTGGTAAAATGTACCACTCCACTTCAAGCATCAAGAAAAGTGATTCATCCATTCAATCATAGTTACACTTGGTCACCTTCAGCCATGATATGATAAGGAAAAACAGAACTAAGAGGTGACCTGAGGTCCTGAACCATACGAACCTACGGATATGTTTGTGACAAATTCAGCGTCCAGACTCCAGAGCCACCTCACTGGGTTTCATTCAGCTAATTCTTCCAGTTCTTCAACACATCGTACCTTTCCAGTTAGCTATGGCTTAGCCTGTTCTTTTGTAGGAAATTAGGAATGCATTGCATAGACTGGATGAACCATCCGTCTAACAGGTTAACATCTCAAATTCTACCTGGCAAAGTCTGTATGACACTATGAGGATGCCAAATGGTGAAACAAAATCTTTAGTAAGTATAGAATTCAGCAGATGAAAAGAAACTATGAAACAGTACTCCGTGATTGGCTGGACTGGATCAATGCAATTGACATTAATTAGACAACAAATGAGTACTTGAATGACAAGATTTCATTATGTCCTTCATTTCATGGAATCCTCAAATCATACAAATTCATTTTGACTATAACATGAGTCAAAAAATGTTACCGATGCCTTGCATTGCAGAATGATTTCATCATCACGTGGTTCGATTATTAGATTATACCCAAACTCTGATCAATTGGTGGAGTCAGCAGATCCATAGCCATAAGGGTTCTTGCTGGCCCAGCTCCATTGATCCCGGCACATCTCATCAATCCCATATTTTGCCCTGCAAAGAAATTAGTTGATAAAAAATAGATGGCAACATATAAAGAAACATCCATATGAATACAGGGGATGAAATGTATATCATCCTAAAGCCTCCAACACTGAAAAAAATTAGTGCAAATACAACCTGGCAATTCTTTAGGCTCAGTTTGGAAAGAGTATGACTACAAATATGTAGAGTGCAAAATCTTGTATTTTGTATTATTGTGTATGTATTTGCACTGTACATATTTGTATTTGTACTCTGTCCAAACTGAGCATTTATCTGAACTGTTCAACCAGCAGATGATCACTTGATGGAGCATGACTCAAATATCAGAATAATTTAGATACATTTAACTGCCTATTGTATCAAGTTTTCCCCCGTTGGTTCTGCTTCTTCAGCAATCTTGTTTTACCTCTATGATCTTCAATTAGTTTAATTCTGGGTGGTGCCCCATCAAGTAGAACCCACACCAAGAAGCCATCAATCAAGGTCAAACTATTTGCAGGTTGATTGTTGAATAAGTTCAATCTATATGGACAAATAATCCGGACTTTTCTTCAAAGCAATAAATGTTAATATACTAGTGTTTTCATAAATCAAATTGATTTATTTATATACATATTAGGTCCAAACTTACTTCCATTTCAGCTCATTCTCTGCTTTGTCAGTTAGTGCATAAAGAGTCTCAACATCACCAGGTCGCCTTGCAGCCATAACCAGGGGGATTTTCTGAGACAAGAACATTTTCAGATGTGAAACCAAGAAAGAAGAAAATAAAATAATCTCCATAAGAGGAGCAAAATCCATTTGCAAGGATTTTATGAAATAACCAGTTAAATATCTTCTTTATGAAGCTACCTGTCCAGAGGCCTTCTCAAATGCAGCAACCATCTCCAAAACTGATGTTCCTTTTCCAGTTCCTAAGTTGTATACTTCACAGCCTGCAGGTGCAAAAGTGCAAATAGTCAAAACTGTTTCTGATACACTTACCAATTTAGTAAGGATCTCAATATTATTTACTTGAATGGCAATTTTTTTGTACAGAATAGCATTTCAATACAATTGTTAAATCTAAAATTCCTAGCACGCTTTTGGGAGCCACGCATGTGGCATTTTTTGTGTATATGGGTAGGTGATGATATTTTGCTTCCCATTCTTCTAATATCTTTTAGAAGATCTCTCTCTAAATCTTCAGTCTTCTTAAAGCTATGGTTTCTGGCCAGCTTTTCTATCATTACAATGTCAACTCCTGAAAGTTTCCAACCTGCAACATTTCTTGAACTGTCTTGTACCATTACTATTTAGATCTGAAATCCTTTATCAACAAATAAGCTCCTTGATTTCTGTGCTCTACTCTTTAGACCACCAGAAGTTTTAATTCTGTAGGAATCCTATCCAGTCCTACATCATAAACAGTCCACAGGAGGTAACCTGTACATCAGCATTAATATAATCCGCTAGGTAGTTGTCCCCAATCACATGCACTCATCTGACATTCCTTTACACCTTGTACCAAGTAAATCCTAATCTTTTTACACTTATTTTAAGAATTAATATTTCTTAAAACTAATTGATATGGACCATTGCATTACAATGATCTATAACTAAAATGGAAACAGAGAGAAACAACTGATGCTTTTCTTGATTGGTGTTTTTTCCTCTCAAAGCATATCATGTAACCCTTATTAGTGTTCTTTACACATTTTATGAATATTTACAGGTCCCTGCTCCACTACTTAATATTTGTTTATTTCTTAATCATTATCACCTTCCTTTCTCATTCACACAGAATTACAAATTTATTTTTTATTCTTTTACTAAAATTTGGCTGTAAATCATGCATAAGTGGAAGTAAGAAGGAATCAGATAGAGGGAAACAAGGAGATCTGAAATTAACTGCAAGAAAATGGGGTTAAAACCAAAGCATTATGTGAAACAGATGAACTTGGGATCTGATTCTGCCTCCAAGCAATTATCCCTTCTATTCTTGGACTTATTGTAAAACATGGATGCTTGTAAGCTTATGACTTTTGAGTAAACTTCATACTCCAGAACTAATTTATTCTATATGCCGCTTAAGTTTTAGTTTTGTAACCCATAGCTTTTTCTTGTTTACTAGTGATAAACTTTTTATATGCCAAATGCCAAGTGAATACACATTCTGGGACTCCTAGCAGGCTCAGACTGATGAAAGCTGCCAATAAAGCAGTTATTCTACCAGTTGGTTCAAATTCTACCAGCATGAAACAAAGGTTGTGGAGAAAGTTACGTATGATTTCCATAAGTAAACCAATATATAATTCATACATGGCAAAAATAAATGAAGAAAACAGTAAAAAAGGCCATCCTAATACAAACCTATTTTAGATTCAAATAGCTTCTGCAATGCAGCAATGTGTCCATCAGACAAGTCAACAACATGAATGTAATCACGCACCTGGAGGGAGACAAAAATCTCAAGATGACATGCTCTCTATGGAAGGAAAAGATTTACCAAGGGAAAAAAGAAAAGAAAACAAATGAACAGGAATGGAATCCATGTAATTATGAACAAAAGTCTTTATGTATCAACATATAAATTCCAAATATGGATGTAATGGATGGGATATAAGCTTAGAAGGCAGCAAGAAAAGAAGGGAATGACCCTTTTCACAGTGGATAATAAGGCCATGTCTTCCATGGTTTAGGAAATTTTAGACTTTCATGATAACATTGAGTGACATTGTTTTAGCATCACTGTGAAAAGGAGCATTCCTCCTCTTTAAAAGGAGTGAAAGTGGACTTCAAGAAATGATCAAAATCAACTTGCACTAAATGCACCTCTTTCTCAAACTGAAAATAAAAAATCTTAACATATTTCAGTTGAATATTTCTATGACAACATGAAAAATTCATTTAAGATCATAAATGAACATTACATTGTTTACTTAATTGAAAACACATATTTTGTTAAATTCAATTAAAGAAAGATTAAAAATTAAACAAAATACACAGAACAAGAGGAACATACCCCAGTGCCATCCTTTGTTGAATAGTCACTTCCAAATACTGTCAGTGCAGGCCGCCTGCCTACAGCAACTTGCTGTACAAAGGGCATAAGATTGTTTGGAATCCCACGGGGATCTTCACCTATATAACCACTAGGATGAGCTCCAACTGGATTGAAATATCTAAGCAATATTATACTCCATTCAGAGTCTGAACGGTAGATATCACGGCATATCTCTTCAATAAAAAGCTGAAAGAATCAATACCAGCAGATTTTGTTACCAGAAAAGGATGATGTCAATCACAAAGAAGACACAGGAAACACGATAAAGAAAATATAGACATCCAGAAAGTTTTGGCTCAGTATATGGCACCCATGATGTGGCAAGGTGAGAGGTTAGGCAATTAACTTGCCTAAATAGTAAGGCATAAACATCACATAAAAACGTTCTTTCATAAACAAGCATACAATAAAATATAGATATTACTTTTCTTTTTGTTTTTGTTTTCTAACATTATCTCTTTTATGTGTTTCTTTGTGAAAAGGTAAATGTGTAATTCACGTCTATGATCTATCAGGGTCGGACTTGACAGTTGAAAGTTAAATTTAAAAAACTGAATAATTGTTTTTAGTTATCATTTTGTTAAATCCATTTCATATGTTCATGTGGAACATGCCTCACTTATGCCTCAGCTCATTCATGCTTCATGAACAACTGGAGATTCATGTTTCAAGGTTCACATCTCAAATGCCTTTGCAGACACTAGACAGAGTGAAGGGCCAGAAACAAAATATAAGTCGGATGTCCTTTTCCTCAAGTTGGGATCTTCTGCCAACAAAGCACGTTCCAACGCTCTATCAACCTGATCTAACACCGAAATCTCACCATGAGACTGGGACCCACCATAAAAGTGGGACCTGCCATGTATGAGATGTGCGGTGTGAGATCATGTTGGTAGAGGGTTGGGACGTGTTTTGTTGGCAGGTGATCTGCACTCCTTTTCCTCATGTTTGTATGTGCCCTACCAACATTTGTTTCTTTTAGTGTTACACATCATAAAGGGATTGGCACTGGGTTGTCATACAATACCTTGGTTCGTCCGTATGGGTTTGTTGCACTCAAGGGGAACTCTTCTGTACAAGGCACCTCCTTTGGCCATCCATAAACAGTGGCTGATGAAGAAAAAACGAGCTAAAAGATTTCAAGAGATTTAATATTAGTGTAAGGGAAAAACACGTATTTGGGTGTGAGTCATGTGACATAATAAGATTTAAGGCTTCTTGTCATAACTCGAGGACCAGTGTCAGAGAGAACCAAAATTCTCAAAGACCTGACTCTGCCCCTACAGCTGGGATTGCACCCAGACAAATTTACAACTGAGATGGTCACAATTTTTTTTTTATTATTTTTCATTTATTCTTAAAATTGGGAAATATCGATTAAGGACACTAAAATTTGATTCAACAGTCAAGTGAATCCTAGCTGAACCTCTCAAATCTTGCTTTCTGATTTAAGAGAAAAGCAGTACCTTCTTGCACCCATAGGAAGCCATGACCTCTAAGAGATTTATTGTTCCAATGATGTTGTTATTATAGTAAAGCAATGGTTTTTGAACACTCTCACCAACGGCTTTCAATCCAGCAAAGTGGATAACAGCATCAAAACTGCAGCATGGATGAGGATGAGAGAAATGTTATAATGTAGCAGAAAGGTTAAGATAAAAATATGTAGCACTAAATTGATGCAATTAAGGTATGGAATAAAATTTCTTGTCACATAGACATCTCAGCCTAGTATCAAAATCCTTAACCTTGTTATTGTAAACCATAGTAAAAGTTGACTGAAGCAAATGGACTATCAAAAATTTAAATCAAATCCACAACAAGTTGTCCAGATGGTCATTCAAGAAGTTTGAATTGATAAAAGAGACATCCTTATGACTCAACTAGATGTAAATGATTTTATGAGCCATAAAATCCATTGGTGAAAAAAAGACAATGCTACAGAAAGGGCCATTGTTTAGGATCTTCTATATGTGTTGCAACATGAAAGCCCACTGTCACAAAGCATTTCCTTCAGCACTGTCTACATGGTTTAACCCAAGCACCTAAATATGCTAAGCTCGCTTTTGGGTACTCTGTATTGATTCCAGAAGAATAAAACTGAAAGATACCACAAGCATCACCCCAACCCTATCCTCTGCCACAACACTTTCTCAGTGCCATCAGTACACTTGATAATGGTTATTGGGTAGCATCAAGTAAAGATGGAACTACTCACCACTGTCACTTGGAGATTGAAGAAGAGATGCAAGATTGAAATTCTTCAGAATTCCATAACTACTGAATAGGCTGGTGATAGTCCTCCCCCTCCCCTCGAAATCTTCTAAAATTGACCGGAAATTTAGCAAGCCCTGATTGTCATGGCAGTCTCAAAATATCAGGAGGATCATGGGGGTAATATCTTTCTTTCTTCTTGTATTACATGCCACCTCATTTATTCCCTTGGTTTCATAACAGTAACTGTGAACAAATGCTAGTTCAGGAAGCCAATAGTTCAATTTCAACTGAGACAATCCCTTTTATCCAATCCATCCTTCTACATCATGGTCCAACTCATTTTAATCACTCTCTGCCCTACTTAAACTATTATATTAAAATGATTGAGAAGAGAGCAAGGTGGTTTCTGACATAACAGAAATACCATCAACTGTGAAACTCTGATAGTAGATGCTACAAGAGATGCAAACTAGAGGCACTCATCAAAGTCAAGATTCCTATTGTACAGAAGCAGAGTATGAGAAAGGATTGGGAATTAAACAGAATATGTTCATCAGTTGTAATAGTAACTTACTTCGTTGAAGAAAAAAGTTTTTCTAGGGAAGCTTTGTCCCGAAGGTCAATCTGCAGAGGAGAACAGAAGTTAGAAATCTCAGAAACCATGTTTAAAAGAACTAACTGAATGAAGGTAGACAAACAATTCCTGGAAATTTCAAAAATCCATGAATTAAAAAACTAAAATTAATGATGTAAGCTTCAGAGAGAGCTTTATGATCTATGCAAAGAGAATATATATGTGAAAACCTGAAAGCAACAATAAAAAAAGTGATTCAAAAAGCTAAACCATGTGGAGAGAGATGCATGGTCAAGCCCTGATCTATTTAATCCAGAAGACCCTGTGAACCAGCCCAGATATTCTTTCATCTAATGTTCAGGGCAGGACTGTACAGGATATAGATCTATCTTTCAATCACTTGATTACATGAGATGGTTATTTCTTTCTTATACCTTACGGGCAGTCTGTCTGATAATAGGTGCAACCCTCATACTGGCAGAACTTTGGGATCCGGTTCAATTGAGAACAAGATCATTTAAGATTGCTATTTATCTTTCCATTGGGTACAGGTGTCATATTAACCAAATTACAAGGCTCACAACACATTTTCCTACTTTTGATCAGGGAAAAGAACTTGTGGATGACAGGATGATGCAGCCTTTTCTATTAAGTTTTCCTCTTAATAGATCTAAGCAAAACCTGGACTTAACAAATCACATGGCAAAGTATAGCCGTAACTATTTGCATATTAAACTCTTGCATTGTAAAGGTTTCTTTAAGTGACGGATTAAGCTCAATAACTTCAAATCAGTATACCTATCTATTGAATGTAAGCTACGGAAATAGATCAAAGGCCTAATCAATTGAGCAATCAATCTCAAATCGTCACATCACACCTAAGTATAGATTAAGCTGCAGATAAAGATGAAACACAAAATTAAATAATGATTTGAACTCACGGCGTCAGACATATACATGGATACATGATGTAGTCTGTAAAATTGCAAGCCATGGAGACAAATTAAACACCTATTCATTGAAGAATTTGAGCTCACTTATTCTCAATCAAAAACCGTGAAATAAGTAATCCACTTCGAACATTGCTAACTTTAGTGATTGATCAAACATCTAATCAACCGACACGTTAGCTTAAGCACGTAAATCAGCATATCAATCTCGGGATTGCAAGCTATAAAGATAAGTTCAAACACCTAAACAATAGACAAACTATGTCCACACAAGTTAAAACAATCATCAATCAGACTTATTTAGGTTTTGTAAACAATAACAGAACAAGGATCAAGCAGAAACATCTTCATTTTCACAAGAACGTATACAACAAAGAACAGGAACCAAACCTGATGAAAACTAAGATTCTTGCCGAATTCTCCAGCGAGTTCGGCTACCCTCTTTATGGCGATATCGGAGGAGTTATCGAGGTTATCGATGACGACAGCCTTAAATCCTCCCAACAGGAGCTGAAGAACAGTGTGGCTGCCAATGTAGCCGGCACCACCCGTTACCAAAATGTTCTTCGCCATGGCGTTGTCGGACACACGATGAGAGCTCTGGAGAAGGAGAAATGAGACTCGGAGAATGAAGTGCGAAGGAAGGGGAAATCAGAGAGAGCGATAGAGGGAGAGAATTGGTGGAGAGGCAGAGAGCGAGGCTGGGCGAAGACAGGTACTATTTTTTAATCAATTTATGAATTCTGAGTCAGATAACAAAAGGAGATACTATAATACTACGTAACAAAGGTAGTTAGCCATGCGGGCAATATTAAGAGGGCAAGAGGAATTCTTTTCTTGGGGCCCACGGCCCACCGCTTTCGCAAACTAATTCGGTAGACGGGTCGCGCGTCAAAATCAGAGGTCGGATCAGCTACCAACACAGGGTGCCCACTACGTTTCAATCAGCCAATGCAACTGTATATCGGGAACATCTCTCACGAATATCAAGGGAGATATTCCCGATGTGCATATGCAGTGGCTCGTTGGGATAAGGTTGAAGCGTTTTATCGGTTACAAATCCCTACCATCCAAATCAGGGAATCTTAAGCTTGAAGCGATGGTTTGCTTGGATTGCTTCAACCGATAAAACACGGGTTAGAATCTCCTGCAATAAAAACGTTCTAACACTACCATGTATGCATGTTCTTTGTCGGATCATATTGGTTTTATTGGCAGGAGACCCGAACTGATAACAGAGTACGTGGCGCATGACGCCCTCTTTTCTGGAGCTTATGAGTTGACTTTAGCTCTTTTCATAAAAGAGAAAGAAAAGGCTTCCCAATTTCAGTCCGGATGAGCTGGATATAAATTCATGCACACCCGTGCTCATAATAGGCAATACCTAGGACCCAGCTGTAGCGTGTTCAACCGTGACAAGTAGTCCGTAGTTCAGCCGAGTGTGTATATTTTTGTCTCCAGCTAATCCTATTCACGGTGGATGTAAAGCAACTTAATCGAAAAGTGGAAGGAGGCGTGGCCTTGTCACCTACCGTGAAGGAGCAAAAGTATTTCTTGGATAAAAAAAAAGAAGCCAAAGTGTATTTCTAAAGTAAATAAAAAATTTTTTCATACCACCCAGGAACCATGATCCGAAATAAGGGGTGACCGACCATTATATGAAGTATAATATAAATTTTATATCAATATTATATGTTATATAACATGAAATGGCTGGGGGTTTGAGTTGGACCGAGATCAAGCCCGAATTATAACCTTGTTATAGGTATTAAGCCCAGCTTGTCCATGAAATGGAAAACTAGATTGGCCAAGGGTGGCTCGGCATATGCTTGGATTGAAGGTAGGATCTTTGGTTTGGTGCTAATGGGTTTGCAAAGTCTATCACATTCCCCTGACCAAATAACCACCCAACCCTGATGCAGGCGGGATTCAATCCAAAGTCTCCATTATAAACAGCTGGTGATCTTACCAATTAGCCTGTTGGCACTTTGGTTAGCTTTTGACTTGTTATTAGTTTAAACCATGGTTTTTAAAACTGGACTGAAAAAGCCGGGAACTGGTCATTTGATCAGTTTTGTTTTTTCCTGAAATCATTTTTTTTTTCAAAACCGTTGATTTTGGTCATTAAATTGCTGAACTGGCAGGTTTATCATTCGAATGATTTCAACCGTTTATCAAAATTTTTTTATTTTTTTTATCAGAACGAGCTGATCGTTTGAACTATTCGATTAATAACTGGACCCCTGACCAATTCAGCACCGAGTCAGTTTTAAAAACCATGGCTTAAACCATAAGCGGGTTGGTGTTACAAGATGACTATACTTTACAGGGCAATAATTACATGTTTCCTAATAAAAAGGAAACTGCGTCGGTTATGAGTAGCCTGTGCTTTGTTTTTCTATTTTTAAATAAAAATTATAAAATTCTAAGGGGATAAATAAAGTAATCAAGTAAGCGAGGGTAGGCTGATGATTATTCAATTTACATTTTGAAAATGATGTCATATCCCTATCCGGCTATCCCCTCGAAATGATCAGGTTTCTGGGAGAGATAGAGAGTGCCTTACAATTGCCATGGAACGGACGAGTGTGTTCCATGGAGTAAAATGAGAAAAAAAAAAAAAAAAACATAATCATGTTATGAGAGAAATGAATTAGAGAAACACTACGGGCTGTTTGCCAGTAATTTGATTTTTAAAAAATAAAAAAATAAAAACAACAACCCATCAGCAAATAGTGATTCGATAGCCAAATCACATGGAGGGATATCAAAAGGGAAACTCTTTTTTAATTGAACAAATTGGGGATGTGTTTGGCATTTTGGTGGTATTTATTAGCGTCTTGTTCTAGAAAACTGTGATACATCAGTATTATGTCGGAAGAAACGGTGTTTCAAGAAATGCTTTGTTTGAAATCATTTTTCTATAAAAACGGTGCTCCAAGTCACACATTGGAAATTGAAAAGGCATGGTTTGGAGCAATGTCGAATTTGGCATTTTCTTAGATTGCAATTCCTTGTTGCCAACGAGGACATGATGTGGCAGTGACGTGGAAATGTCCTACTTGGCAGCAATGTTTCCAAACAGAAAAAAGACACTTTCCAACCCACACATCAGAAAACGGTGCTGTATTTGCAGCATCGATGCCAAACATATATTTAGTGTTTTCAAACTGTTGTTTACCTAACCAGTTGGACTATTGATTTGGCCAATAAAAAATCGAGTTTGGATCTCCTACCCACACAAACTCTGCCCACACCTACCCACATAACATTGCAGCCGCATATGGAGAACATCTCATCCTCCTACATAGCATTATGCAGAGGGAGATGTTCCCAATTCACGGGGTAGTGTGTTGTGGGTAGACGTGGGCAGGTGATCCGAAGTCTATAAAATCTACCAATTTGGTCAACAATCCATTGACCTAAATGGTTAAATTGTTGATTTGTCTGCCCAGTTCAATCGTCAATGGGTTATTAATTTTTTATATTATTTTACTTCTTTAAAAAAAGGGTTCGACTATGATATGAAAAAGATATGATATCTGTAAAATTTCTGACCAGTCAACTGGAATCATAAATGGGATAGCTAATTAGGTGTCATTTATCAAAATTCATGGATGGATTTTGATTGATCAAAACTCTTCCCATACCATATCTTTTCCACGTCATAGATTTTCCCTTGAAAAAATTGTATTAATAAAAATACAGCATCATAGATTGGCCCATTGACTCAAATGGTTGACTGTTGACTCAATAACATGAAGGGAAAAACTGAAAAGGTTCAACCACCGGGCCGGATTTTAAACATTAGTAAAACTAGTTTTTTTATCCTTCATTGATTTTAAATAATTAGTCAAGTCACATCAGTTGCTTATTTTCATAAGCAGGCAAATTTCATGTTAGTTAATAAAAATGCAATTACACATGGTTTTTAAAAACGAACTGGTCAGGGGTCCAGTTACCGATTCGAAAGGTTTGACTGTTTGATCCGAATGGGCAGCTCGTTCTGATGAAAAAATAAAATAAAATAAAATAAAAAATTGAAAAACAGTCAAAACCGTTCAAACGGTTTGAACGATTAACTAACCGGTTCAGCGGTTTGCTGACCAAAATCAATGATTTTTGAGGGAAAAAACGGTTTTAGAGGAAAACGGAATTGATCAAGTGACCGATTCTCGGTTTTTCTGATCCAACCATCCGGTCCAGTCCGGTTTTAAAAACAGTGCAATTACATACTCTACAATTTTGTAGAGGGAGACGACTTTAGGGTTGGCAGGGCTGCAAAACAGTATCTGTACAAATTTGAATCTGAACCTGATCCGAATTCTTTTATTTTTTTGGTATTTAACCCAATCTGAATTTAGTCCGTTTATTATTAATTTGATCCATCCCCATATGATGACCCAATCTGATTATATTTGTGTCTGTATACTTTTATGAGTTTATCTGCACAAAATTAACATGTATCTATAGATTTGTAACAAGTCTCAGAGAGGTAATAGTCAGGCCATGGTTAAACGTACTCACAGCAGATGACAATCCGATCATCTCAGTGTATGGTCCAAATTTACATGTAGACCTAATGGATAATCAAGGAGTCCGAATCTGTATTGGGCATTCAGCAAACCCAATACATCTTTCCAGGGGTGCAGTGCCGCCACAAAAGAGATTCTTCAGTCTTAACATGTGTAATGAAAGAGAGTTACTGAATAAGGCAAACATAACACGAAAAGACAAAAAGCAATAAGCCACTTTCAGTTTCATTAGAGAGACAAGGCAAAGACGGAAAATAATCCAGAATATCCACAAACCAAATGCTTTACAGTCATCCAAGTGGTGTTTGACAAAGGAAATTCCCTAGGTGGAACCATCATTGCCACAACTAGTGCTCTATATCTACATGACACAATATTTAATGTCTCTACGTAAAGAGAAGGAATATAATAATGTGCATTTGAAGCAGCCTGATGCTTAAGATCATGACATTATAAATTTATAATAAGATGGAAAATGATGGATGCACCATAATAAACTGAAAATGTCTATCCTCTGAGATTGAAACACTAAAGGACCATTTGATAACAGCTTAATTAAAATGGCTTATTGCTTTTAATTTTATTGAATAAGTTGAGGTTGTGAGCTCCTTAATGATTGACACTGAAATTGGGTTTATTGGAATACACTCCAATATTTTATTTATATGTAATTAATTTATCCAACAAAACATTAAGTCATTCACTTCAATGGTTATCAAATGGCTCCCTCAAAATAACAATGTTGAACTAAGGTGGGAAGATAGTTGGTCTGTACATTGGAAAGGGTGGATTCCATATTGGCATTTTTACATAAAGTGGCTGTCCTCAGTGTGTGACTTGAACCCTTATTCTCATATTTGTCAGCTTGAGATTTTACCACTGAAGATGTGAAGATAAAATATGAACAGAGCCTGTAATTTCGTACAAATTTTCTTTACTAGTTGTTAGAGAAAAAAAAAATCTACAAGAAAGCCCTTTCATCATCATCTAAGACTTTTCTAACAATATCTATATGGGGTTGGCAAAAATCCATGTTCATAAGAGTTTGGCAAAAAAATTTAATGCAAATTGCCAACCTGACACAATCCTCCTCCTTTAGTAAAAGTAGTTCAAAGGAGAACATTATTATTTCTATCTATGAAATTGCTAAATTAAGCTTGCGTTTGGATAAGCTTCAGCTCAGAATCAAGAACAGGGACCAATTACCCAGATAAGAAGT